GTGAACGGCAGTCTGCTGGCGTGTTCAGCGAATGGTGCAGTGTCACCACCACCTCCACCACCGCCGCCCATGCCAGCAGCAGCCGCACCACCGCCGCCGCCTCCTCCAGCGCCACCAGCTCCGCCACCGCCGCCCATGATGCAGGGTCTGACTCCACTGGGCAGTCCGAACGGTAGCGTCACCTCAACAGTTCCCTCCCCGCCTCATGCGCCGCCTATGCTAAGCTCGTTCCAGCCTCCGCCACCTCCAGCTGCTGGATTCATGCCAGCTCCAGATGGTGCCATGACCATCAAACGCAAGGTGCCCACCAAATACAAGCTGCCAACGCTTAACTGGATAGCGCTCAAGCCGAATCAGGTGGGTTTTATTGATTTTTTATAAATATTATCTTTAATAATTCAAATTTTTAAAAATCTCTGCCTCAGGTTCGCGGCACCATATTCAACGAGCTGGACGACGAGAAGATCTTCAAGCAAATCGACTTTAACGAATTCGAAGAACGTTTCAAAATCGGCATCGGTGGCCCTCTACACAATGGCAGCAATGGCAGCGAGGTAGATGGCTCTCTCTCTTCCTATCCCAGTAAACGTTTCAAGAAGCCCGATAATATCTCGCTGCTGGAACACACGAGGTTAAGAAACATAGGTAAGCAGCTTGTAAATATGCAACGTTTTTGTTTTTACAATAGATTTCTTTCGTTTATCTTTCAGCAATCTCTCGTCGTAAATTGGGCATGCCCATTGATGATGTTGTTGCGGCCATACATAGTTTAGATTTAAAGAAGTTGTCACTGGAGAACGTGGAGCTGCTGCAAAAGATGGTGCCCACCGATGCGGAGGTTAAGGCCTACAAGGAGTTCATAATTGAACGCAAGGACCAGCAGCTGCTCACCGAGGAAGACAAGTTTATGTTGCAATTGTCACGCGTTGAACGCATCTCCTCCAAGCTGGCCATTATGAATTACATGGGCAACTTTGTCGACAGTGTGCATCTCATCAGTCCGGTAAGGTCTCGCACGACTCCATCAAATATACTTTTCTTAACCTCTTTTTATCTCCCACAGCAAGTCCTATCGATCGCCAGCGCCTCGAACTCCCTGAAGCAGTCTCGCAAGTTCAAAGCTGTGCTGGAAATAGTGTTGGCGTTTGGCAACTATCTCAATAGCAACAAGCGCGGACCGGCATACGGCTTTAAGCTGCAATCTCTGGACACATTGATTGACACAAAGTCAACTGATAAGCGGTCTTCCTTGTTGCACTACATTGTGGCCACGATAAGGGCCAAATTTCCGGAGCTTTTGAACTTTGAGTGCGAGCTATATGGCACTGAAAAGGCGGCCTCAGTGGCATTGGAGAACGTTGTGGCCGATGTGCAGGAGCTGGATAAGGGCATGGAGCAGGTGCGCAAGGAAGTCGAGTTGCGTGTGAAAGGCACACAGACACACATACTGCGGGACTTCTTGAACAATTCCGAGGACAAGCTGAAGAAGATTAAGAGCGATCTGCGAGTGGCGCAGGATGCGTTCAAAGAGTGTGTGGAATACTTTGGAGACTCGTCACGAAATGCGGACGCAGCTGCATTCTTCGCGTTGATTGTGCGCTTCACACGTGCCTTCAAAGTAAGCGAGAGTATTTTAGAACATATATATAAGGTCTATATACTTAACATCTATTCAATGTGTTTTTAGCAACTCGATCAGGAGAACGAACAGCGTCGTCGACTGGAGCAGGCTGCTGCTTTGGCAGCAACGAAGAAGGAGAGCGACCAGGTTATGCTGCGCAACAAGTTCAATCAGAAGAAGCAACAGGTGAGTGGACGGCTGAATGGAAGCTTATCAGCCAACAAGACGGCCACATCTTTCAAGTTGGTGACATTGATTTGATTGTTATGGAAATGTAACCTGTTATGCTTTTGATTTATGCAGCAAATACATTGCCTGCTTGACTTTGCCAAGCAGCATAGCACTGTGGACATGTCTCCCTAACTGCATAAAATACTATTTATAGTATAGCACCCAAGGCAACATCCTCAGCCTTAGCACGTATTGGTTATTTGGCTAACATACTCTAGTAATTCACCATTTGGGGCGGGGCGGCTGTGGGGCGTGGGTTTGAATTGGGCCAACAACCTAGACATAAACCCAAGCAACCAACCACCTATAGCATCACCACACCACAACCACAACCACCACCACCACAACCATCCACTAGCTTCTAGTCGAGTACTTTGGGGGCGCATTTGACGGACGTTGTTTGTGTTTATATCCTAGTGTAAGTCGCTTGGCTGGTGTGTATATTGTCCCCTAACATTTGGCTCACACTAATCCCTAGCGTCTAAATCCTGCCTTGTTGCTCTCTGCTAATCCAATTGCCAAAAGAAATCTCACTAATTCGGATCAATACCAAATAAATTTGTGTGTATATTATGTGTAAAATTGTGGTAAACATACTCTTCGTGTAGTATTTTAAGAGATATAGTGCGCTTAACAATTTAATCAAATGCTTTTGCATATTACTAATACTCACATATTTGTGCTAAATGCTAACTTGGAAACTAATCCACGATAAGTCTATTGGTCACTTCGGTGGGTGCTGGTTAATTTTTAATCTGACAATTTTTCTCTTTTGTTTTCAATGCATGTTGTGAATCAGTTGCCTACAACTTGCGCACTCTCCTTGCAGGATGCCGTCATCAATGAGCTGAAGAGCAAGACGCACTCGGTGCGCGAGAAAAAGCTGCTGCAACAGGACGAGGTCTACAATGGCGCTCTCGAGGACATATTGCTGGGGCTCAAGAACGAGCCATATCGCAGGGCAGACGCTGTGAGGCGCTCCCAACGCCGACGCATTGATAACCGCTTGTCGCGCACTCTAGAGGAAATGGACTGCTAGGCTAGCTGGCTAGTTGGTTGGCTGTAGAACTGGGCAGAGGCAAAAATCAAAATTGAAAAGCGAATCGAAAAACGAATGTGTAAAAGTCTTAGATAAAGAAACTGAAATATGTGATCGGGCGATTCAATTGTTTTGGACAGACGCACCCAGACACATATACACACACATACAGAAATAGACACATTCCCCGCTTTTAACATTGTGCTATCATTGAAATTTATATTTTTCGTTTATATTTTCGTAATTAACCAAAATTTTACATTTTTCCAGTACTATCGATTCAGTACCTATTCTGTGAATCTCATTTATGCTATTCTGCTATTGAGATATTCTGTCGCCAAAATTTATAAAATTGCATTTTATATTTGGTTGCATTAGGTATAAGTTATAAATTTACAAATTTTTACAGTGTATTTATCGAAAGTTCAATTGTTATATTTAAAGTGTGTAAATATATGTATGCATATATATATTCTATGATTATTAATATTTTGAATAAGTTTTTAAACCAAATTGGAATTTTGATTTGCATCCGAGATGGCAATGAAGTTTTTTACACTTTACTATCATGTATTTAGTTATATATCTATCATTTTTACACATATTGCTTAAGTAATAAATTGTATGCATGCGTATAATACATTTTATTGTAAATTTCCTATTATATACGTGTATTGTTTTTTATATATTTTGTTGTATTATATAATCTACATATATTTAACACATTTTGCACACTGCTTAAACAAAACGAGAAAAAAATCGAATACTGCAATAAACACAAATAAAAGCGCCAAATATTGCAAGCAACATGAACATTTTTTATATGCGAATTACATTTTTTAGAAAGTTTTTTAAAAATATACAAACTAACGGAAACAAAAAAATTAAACAAACACATTTTATAACATTTTATGTAGAATTTTTATATACAAAAATATATATAGCTATGTACATATATACATAATATATGCAATTTATGAGCCAATTTATTCTCACGAGCCACGAAAGTTTTGATGAAGACTGATATGGAGCAGTTTATATTATACAAAAAGAAAAACAAAAGAAAAGTACACGCATCAACATATATACACACACTTAATAATTAAAAACAAAATAAAACAAAAAGCTTTGTAACGATCTTTTTCGAATATAGGCGTCTCGTCTAGTGTCTTTCCTTTTATAAAAACCCAACACTTAACGAATTTAGTTGAACTATAAGCACATTTGTACTACGAGTAAAACAAATATAGGTAGTGCCATTGGCATTAATGACATGGTCCTTATGCATATCTTTTCGTAACATGTTTTTTGATTTGCCAAAAAAAAAAGGAAATAAAGCGAGCATGAGAGCGAAACGTTTAATAAACTAGCACCGCTGCATTGTTAGTTTTAAATATTGTGTTATTTAATTTGATAAGAAACCAGATTGGTATACGAAAAACCAGATAAATACAAACAGATGCCGCATTTTATATATATATACACAGATATAACAATATATGAACACATTAAAACTATTTTAAATAAATTATTAACCAAATAAACTAGCCAAAAGAAAAAATCCGTTGTTTTCATATAAAGGCGTAAATGATTTTTTGAATATTCAAAATAACGGGAGGAAGTCTAACGATTAGATTTGTTATACTGCCAACTGTTCAATAATACGATGAGCGGGCAAGTTTCATATGTGTTCTGACAATATTTAAAATTTAATGAATATGTTTATGGTTACAAAAATTGTTTTAAAACGCAAATTTTTTTAGCTGCAAAGCTGCTTCTTTATTTTGATCTGATCAAAAAATATAACGACCGAACGCGTCGAGCTTCAAACTGAAACTAATTTTATCGCCGTATGTAAGGAACTTTGATGAGAGTGCACTTTACCACTCCTTTTCATCTTTCTTGCTCACAATTGAGTAATGCGAATACTTTAACGATTTCCATTAGCGAAATGTAATTTTGTCGAGCAGTCGGCATATTTGAGCAACAGTTGGTCTTATGGTGCTGCCAACTTAATTTAGTTAGCCAACAGACCGATAGCCGCTCTCTCTTCCTGTGCTTTCTCAATGTAATTTTATATCGATACCAAACGGCACATCTCTAGTGTGCTACAATCCAGCCGCGAGAGTAAGAACAGCTGGTTCTCAATATTTTGCATCTATTGGAATTTTAGTCTTAAAATGATTTAGGCACGACAGCACACAAATATTTTAGGTTTTATTGTGCCACATTGTGCGCGCCAACGGAAAGAATGTTTAAACGGACTTTCAAAGTGGTTTATCGGCCGATTCGAAACAATTTCGTGATACTGCCGGACCAATACTACGGTGTCGTTTCCACTTACGTGAGTGTCCAAAAGTCAACTTAATATGCCATTGGACCCGCAGATTAGATAAGTTGTAATATATATATATATTATGATTATACATATATTGCTTAGGATACTGGCTGCCTGAGCCTTCAGTACAACGGTCGTGTGCATTATGCCTCATGGGCGCCACAGGCGGGTGGCGGCGGCATCAAAGACACCGAAATTGGGATCAATGCCAGGGCGGCCAAGGAGCTCGGTAAGTTACTTAATAAGCGGATGCGCTAATGTGCTGCCAATTGCCAAAATATCGTTTTTTCTAAATGAGTGTGCATATACTGTGTGCACTTTGCCATACGTCTTGTTGTAGGTCTTCATGAGAATGATTTGGTCAAGTGCGCCCTCATCGCTGACGTTCTAAATCTGCGCAGCGTTCACGTCACGCCCGTCTCGGCCAAAGATTGGGAGATCATTGTGAGTGCTTATCTATCTATGTATGCATGCGCGTGTGTGTGTGCGTGTGTGTGTAACTGCGGCCAGATAAAAATACTTTTATATCGGATTAGCTTTTGGCGCGGGCGTGCTTCTAAGTGTTTATTTATGTGCAGCCGCTACATTTCGCCGGCATTGCCATTGACCCCAGCGGGAAATTCTCTTATCAGGGTTGGGTAATTTTCAAATAACGGTCAACAATTTGAATAAGTATAGACTGTAGAACAGCCGTAGTTTGCACACGTATAGTTTCGACAATACTTTGTATTACTAAATTGGAAAACAAATTGGTGTAAGTGAAATTTACATTTAAAACTTATTTACTAAATTTTAAAAGCTTTTTGCGCATTAACAAAATATGTTTAAGTTAAAGTACTTAAATTTCAATTACTTAATTTTAATAGACTGCAGAGCCAATATTTCTAATATTTTTTTGCTTGTTATTTGCAAAAGTTATGAATTAATAATAAGATACTGAGATATTAAATTAATATATTTTCTTATAATTAATATTCATATACATATAGTCTATATTAATAATTTTTATTTATTTTTTTTAAGGAGCTGAGTACGGAGAAAATTTCTGGCAGTGTACTGGAGCAAACGCGCATTGTAAACTCGTCACAAATTTTGTTGGTTTGGATCAACAAGTCGACGCAAGTGGCGCTAACAGTGGGTAAATAGTGAATTGAATGCTCAACACACCACATTTATTTCTAATTACATGATTTTTGTTTAGATCGCCTTAAGCCGCACATAAGTTACGGGCGTCTGGATCACAATACGCAGCTGGTTGTGGCGCCAAATCTATACCAAGGTCTGACCAACGGCAAAGACAATGAAAATGCTGAGGAAAATAAGAAGCTGTCGCGCAGCAAGACTAGTGCGCAAGTGCGGGATGAGGTGGCCACGACTCCACCAGCGCTCGTGCACTCCGCTACAATGAGTAATGTGAAGAACAATTTGCAACGCAACAAGCGGCAGGATCATATGGAGCGCTTGAAGAAGGACTTGCGACGCGAGAGTTCGCGTGTCTTTGAGTTTCGTGTCATACGTGGATTATGGCACGAGCAGGCACAGGAATCGGATGTGTACATAACGCAATCGCATTTGCCGGAATTCATGGACCTGGAGCAGTTCTACAGCATGCGCACCGCTGGCGAGAAGGAGTATTATGTGCGTGTGCGTCTGGTTAGCGATGAGAACGAAGACGAACTGCCAGCCACTATTCATCCGTCCATCGAGCTAAATGCGAATCTGATGAAGCTGTTGAACATTAAGGAACTGGAGCGTGTTGTCCTGCGGCCTAAGACAACCGTTGTGAACTTTGTGGAGAAGATTGAGTTGTTTGCGCACAAGAAGACGCATTACAAAATCATTGAGAATGCATTTAAGCGGTTTGTGATTGAAAGAACAAGAAAGGCGCCGGTGCTGTTCAATCAGGAGGAAGTGGTGCGTCTGGAGGACGACCTACTGGTCACAGTGGGCATATTGCCTGAGCACTTCCGCTATTGCGTGGTGGACGCCCAGTTCCTAAAGGAATCGAAAATCTATGCTGCCGACTTAGTCCGTCCCGTCCATGAAATTATCAAGGAGCAACCGCCGGCGATTTCGCCACTGAGTGTTAAGGACCTAATACGACTGCCAGAATACGACAAGATTCTAGACCAAGTGGTCAGCGAGCTGCGCATGAATCTGTGCCTCAGCTCACAGAACTCAGTCTTGCGCCAGGGAAATGTGCTTCTGACCGGCGCCTCTGGCACTGGCAAAACGGTGCTGGTGGAGCGCATACTGGAGCAGCTGTCGGGAAAGCCGGACTACTGCTACTTCGATATCTTCTACTGCTCGCGCAGCAAGGGACGCAAAACGGAGTCCATTCAAAAGGATTTGCGCAACATATTCACCACCTGCCTCTTGCACGCACCGGCCATTGTAGTGCTGGAGAATCTGGATGTCCTCGCCCATGCGTCGGCAGAGCAGTCCAGCCAGGATGGCGAGTACTTCAATCGCATGGCGGACACGGTGCACCAGCTCATCATGCAGTACACCAGCAGCAATGCCATTGCTGTCATAGCGACAGTCAGCGAGCTGCAGACGCTGAACAAGCGGCTCAGCGCGCCACGTGGCCGACATCTGTTCCAGACGATTGCGCGGCTGCCCAGCCTGGAGCGTGCCGATCGTGAGGTCATTCTACGCGAACTATGCAGCCATATCGCCACCAAGGAATTGGATCTGGTCAAGTTCTCTAATCTTACGGAGGGCTATCGGAAATGTGATCTTGTCCAGTTTGTGGAGCGCGCCATTTTCTACGCCTATCGCATCAGTAAGTTGACGAAGTCAGCTAGTTAAATACCGTGATAAACATATTTAAATTTTTCACAGGCAAAACACAGCCGCTGCTAACGAACGAGCAGCTCATCGAATCCTTGGAGCACACGAATTCCTACTGCCTGCAGGGCATACAAAGCAATCAAAAGACTGGCGCCGAAACGAATGCCAATGAAATGCGCGTGGAGGAGCTGCCTGGACTGGAGCCTGTGGTCAGTGTGCTCGAGGAGGTGCTCATGTGGCCATCAACTGTGAGTACACAACTATATACTTGTATATGTAAATCTTATTGATTTAAATACGCTTCTCCAACAGTATCCAACGATCTTCAACTCCTCGCCTTTGCGTAATCAGGCCGGCGTGCTGCTTTATGGACCGCCGGGCACGGGCAAAACGTTCCTGGTATCTCAGCTGGCAAGCAGCTGGAGTCTGCGCATTATATCGGTAAAGGGTCCTGAGTTGCTGGCCAAATACATTGGCCAGAGTGAGGAGAACGTGCGCAATCTGTTCAACAGGGCGCGCAGCGCCAAGCCGTGCGTTCTCTTCTTCGACGAGTTCGACAGCTTGGCCCCGAAGCGTGGCCACGACTCGACGGGCGTCACAGACCGTGTGGTCAACCAGTTGCTCACCGAGCTGGATGGCGTCGAGGGGCTGCAGGGCGTTACTGTCATAGCCGCCACTTCGCGACCTGAACTGCTCGATCCAGCGCTGCTGCGCTCTGGCCGCATTGATCGGCTAGTGGAATGCCCGCTGCCGGATGCAGTGGCGCGCGTCAGCATCTTTGAGGCGTTGAGTGCAACGCTGAATCTGGATGAATGTGTGGATTTCGATTGGTTTGCGGGGCGAACGCAGAACTACACTGGCGCCGATATACAAAGCATTCTGACCTCGGCGAACATGGCGGCGGTTAAGGAGGCGCTGGCACAATTCGGACATGAGGTGAGTGAGAATCGCAATCGGGCGGAAATGGAAATGGAGAAGGTTCTTGGTAAAGCCATAGTCAAAGAAGTAGTTGGCGCTTCCGTTCCCAGCAAATAAACTGGAAACAGGGACAGGGCGCACAAGTGCAGCGAGATTTACTATTTTTGGGGTTTTTCTTCTATCTATGATTACGTGCCGTGCATCTGGATCAGGATTAGGCAACCTTATGCGGGTGCTGGGCCAAAAAATACATAGTAAAATTGCAGACGAGAGGTTTTTAGATATATAAGTCACGTAACGGATATTTCCTTATTGATATGCGATTATCGCGCATGCTCACGTACTGCAACAACAATAACAACAACAATAACAACAGCAACAGAAGCAGCAACAACTCAAAAGACAATGGACACATTTTCTTATGCATAAATTAAACATAGCCCAAGGGCCGCGATAATAAAGAATGCAAGCCGAACGAACCAAGACAAGTAGACGAAATCCTCGGCCACAAAACATGCTTAGAATAAAAGTAAAAAGAACAACAAAAGGAAAAGAAAAGAAACCACAGCAACAACAATAACAATGCGCAATTGCAACATGCGGCAACTGCGCATGCGGGACGGACACCTTGCAGACAGGTAGAACCTAGGGAATCGCTGGCCAGCACTGCGAGTGCTCGAAAGGATCATTGATTGTATAAATAATATGAAACACCCACACACACACACGCGCGCACACACTCATGCGCGCACATACATAGATATATAATTGTAGCTAGGTTTTCACGATGTCGTCGGTAACGCCGCCCGGCTCGTGGTGGTTGCCGATGATGATCGTCGTCAGCACATCCAAAAGTTTTGTTGTTGCGGTATTCAATCGATCGTTACTTTCAGTTGTGTGCGCACATTCAAGCAAATCGGTTGGCTCGCGACTGTGTGGGATCTGTTTCGGTTAGTGCAGCGGAAGTTGTCAATAGCCGCAACTCCCTCGCCCAGCTAAAGCGCTGTTCTGTTGGGCAGTGTAGCACTGGGGGGAGTGTGGAGGGCATTGGGCGGCGGGCCTTAATAAGTATTGGCAACGAAGCGGAAATGCGCACGGGTCCAGAAAAGGGCGACCGGGCAGGGACTTCGTTGCCTGCCAGATTGACAGCCGAATAAAAGCACTGCGACAATTCGTGTTGTTCTCTGTCGTTTTGTTTTTGTTGTTATTTTTGTTGTTTTTTGTGATTTTTCTCGTTATTTATTCGAGCTAAAGACAAAGACGTGATTTTTGGGCAAAGAATCGGCGTGCTAAGAAAGAATTATGTACTCATTCTGCCAGACATGGATGGCGATCGCTCAAGAGCGAAAATAAAATCCAGTCAAGTGAAATGCAAAGTACATAAAAAGCCACAAATAAAAGATAAACAACAGACTTGTGAAGTGTTCATCAAACTGTCAGCAGTCCAGTTAAAAATAAAAGCAAATTTGACTAATATTAATTAGCAATAATACAAATAGTCAACAAAAACGAAATGTGCAATTTCATTCGATTACAGTGCGAAATCTTCAAGCAATAAGTTTAGATATATAAGTATACATATATAAATGTCGAATATTTCCATGACTTGTGCAGAATCGTGAGCGGAATTGGAAACATTCAGCTGCTCAGTTCTGCCCGTGTGTCTATAAAATGGTGACAAATTTATGCATAATAAATAATAGATAAATCTCAAATCAAAATTCAAATATTTCTGTGACGTCAACAAACTTCCTAATAGGGCTCCCAGCCAAACCAAATGTGTAAAAACAATTTAAACCGAGTTTGAGCATTCGCAACTTGGCAATAAATATTTTGCAAAAAGCGAGTCGAATGCTGGTCCAAAACTCAAAGTCAATTCATACTTCATAATTATAAACGTTTCAAGCCATCAATTTCCAATAATATTGACAAAGTCGCTAAAACAACAAGAATAAAACAGCAACAACAACAACAGCAACAGCTACATTAAAAACAACGAATTATAACAATAATAATACATATTTCAAACATACGCGATTTGTCTGCTGGCAATAAACGAAAGAAGCAAGAAAAAAAGGAAACTGAATAAATTTAAAATCGCGACGTGTGTGCATATATCACACAAAAAATCAGTACCGCCAAAAAGCAGCAACAACAACAATAGCTACAACTAACAAACGGCACTACACAAACAACAAGCGCAACAATATTTGCAAAAACAACAATGGCAAAAAAAAAAACACCGCAACACCAGTTGTTGGCTTGCCTTAAAAAAAAAAAGCAAATGATAAAATATAAACTTCGTTAGTGAACAGTGGTCTCAGGTGACAAAATAGAAACAGAATTATTCAAAAGTTATAGAAAGTAGAATCCATACTCTAGTTATGAATTGTCCTGAAATAGGCTTATTTCCAATTGATACAGATTATCAAAATAAAGTTATTTGAAACTTATTGAAAACTTACAGTTAAGAGACGTAAGGGATTTTGGCTTTTTAATGATAAACTAAATTATAGTCGATAGAAAGAAAGAAACGTGCAAAAAATTATAGATTTTAATGAAGAATTACTTTAAAAAAATATTTTAAAGCTATTATCAACATTTATCTTGGTAGATTCATATGATGCTCTGAATAAAATATCCTTAGATAATATAAACTTTCTACCCTAAAAGGGCAAATCTAAACTTAAACTTGTTACTTGCTATGATCAATAATATTTCCATATAATATATTCCAAGCAAACTTTATTGAGGCTGCAATAATTCTAAGCTATACGGAAAAAAATCCGCATTGCTAATTTTCTTCATTCATGATTCATGTCCGTTAGAGAATCGTGGACAATTTAGTTTGATATTTTAATGTTTATTGTTAATTGCAAATATGCAATGGAGTTAAAAAAAAAAAAATACAATCTGGCACCCACTCAAATTATATTTTATTATTATTAAGGCGTGGAATTTTTTCGCAATAGAAATGAAAGATTTCAAGAGCTAAAACTAGTTTTGTTTTTTTCTTTTTGCGATTCTCGTAGACCAAGTGAGCAGTAATTATATTGATTCATCAGGTGCGGTGTACTCAATGAACTTTCTTAATGCTCACTTACAAAACAAATGGAGCATATTGGTTTCCATTATAGTTCATATATTATTTCAACTGTATTATACATTTATAGGTGGTATAGGTGGAGGTGGCTCTTAAAACAGATTACAAATACTTCAACATCTTTCTTGACATACGAGTCAGCTTAAAGTCTTCAAATTGCAAAGGAGTATTTTGTAGTTGGTTCTACCCGACGCAAACATTCTTTCCCGTTTCAATATTATGCTGTAAAAGCAAGTTGCCAATTTGGGACCACGGTGCCTAAAGCCAATGCTTGACTCTACCAATATACCAACGATTAATATTATGAATGCATCTAAAATTTCTAACTGTACGACGATTTGTCGTATCAATGGAAATGACGACATTTAACGCATTTGGCATGTGGCCGATGCTCACATATACTATATTCATATATATAGCCAACTTATAGATATTTGACTTGGCTATATGTGTGCGCGTGCGTGCGTTTGTGTGTGTGTGTGTGCTCGTTGACAACAGCTACAACAACAACAAGAACAACAACAGAAGCAGCAGAGGCGGCAAAGGTGTTGCTCATTACAGAGGCAGTGCACATAATGGTTGCCTTTTTGTATTATACGCGTTGCCTTTTTTCTTTTTAGATTTATTTTTGTTTCGAATATTGAAAAAAAAAGAAGACGCAAAAAATTGAACCTAACCGATAGCAATAAATTATAAATAAATAATAATAATAATAATATGATAGAGAAGGTAAAATGTGAGCAAATGAAGCATTGCGAAATATAAAAGTGTCTTTGCAAAAGTAGCGGCAATTTGGCAACAGCAACAGCAACAGCTAAGTAAACAGCAATCACATTAACAGCAGCAGCGGCAACAGCAACAGCAACAACAAAAACTCAAATGCTATACTTGAAAATGCAAAATCTGCTGATCATCATATTCATCATCATCAGCTATAGCAGCAGCAGCAGCAGCAGCAGCAGCAGCAACAACAACAACAGCAACAACAATTCGAGCTGCCACTTTGAGGCGCATCGTTGCCAAATCGATGTGAGTCAAGAGCCACAGCCTGGCTATCGTCATGTGCCCACAGATGTGGATATTCAGCTGGAGTGCCAACAGCCCCAAGCCAAATGGTTCTACAACGAGCAGCCCCAGCACAGCGGCAGCAGCTGGCTGCTAGAGCGCGCTCAGAGAGAACAGTCGGGTCGCTATGCCTGCCAGTATGCTGGCCATCGGTGGGCCAATCTGACGCTGCTGATTGGCTACCAGAAGGCTAGCGACGACCTGGCCAGCTTCAGCCGGGTGTACAGCGAGCCTGTGGAGCACTATCTGCTGCCGTTGAACGAGAGTCAGCAGCCACGCTTCGCCCAGCCACTGGAGCCGCTGGTGAGGCGCACGGCGGGCTCTATGGTTCACCTGAACTGCACTCCGGCAGCGGGAGTTGTGTGGACGAACATTAGCTGGTTTCACAATGACACCCAGGTGGGGAGCAGTGCTCGGAAAACGGTGCACAGCATGTGGCAGCTGCAGCCCCAGGATGCGGGTGACTATCGCTGTCGTCTGTGCAATGCCCAGAGCTGCGCCGACAGCAGGACTCGCTTGGAGGTGCTGAGGCGTCAGCACATGGCCCCTGTGCTCAGTCCGGGCTATCCGCGTAACGTGACCGCTGTCCTGGAGGAGCAGCCGATCATAGAGTGCAAGCTGGAGGACTCGCAGCTGGCGCCACAAATCACGTGGCTGCAACAGATACGACCCGGTGACATAAACTCGCTGCTACAGCGCCTGGAGCAGCAAGCCATCCTGGTGGACAATGATGAGGTGGTCCGACTGCCGGCCCGCGTAGATGAGCCGCAGCTGCTGCGCCTGGGCAGCGTGGAGCCCTACGATGCTGGCTGGTACATATGTGTGGCCGAGAACCGCTTGGGGCGCACTGTGGGCGCTGCCTATTTGCAGGTGGTGCCCAAGCCCATCAATGTGCCCACTTCAACTGTGCAGCCAACGACAACAACAACCACAACGCAGCAATCGATCGTTAACGCCACGGATGACGATGCGGCGGATGAGGCAGCCGATGATGTCGCGGACGATACCACAGTGGAGCAGTTCCCCAAGTTTAAGAAGCCCCTGAAACGTTTGCAGCATCTGCCCTCGGGCAAGACCCTCACCCTCTCTTGCCCCAGCACCGCGCATCCGCCGGCGAACATCAGCTGGACATTCAACAAGGGCGACGGCTACAAGGAGCTGCAGCGCGACATTGGCGGCTATAAGTTCAGGCGCTGGTCCCTCACCATGGAGGACGCCATATCGAAGGACTCGGCCCTGTACAAGTGCAAGGTGTGCAACATCCTCGGCTGCATTGAGTTCGAGTACAGCGTTGTGGTCAACGATCGCATCCGAGCGCCGCCCATCATCACCAAAATGGACAACAAGACGGCGCTGATCAACACGCAGGTGGTGCTGAAGTGCGATGTGCTGTCCGACAACGAGCCCTCTATCCGGTGGATACGTGTGATGCACCACAATCACTCGATGCCCTTGGCTGTGGACTCGATGCAGCCGGGAGTGGTGCACATCGATCTGAAAACGTCCGTGGATCGCCCCGATTTGCTGGTGTTCAACAATGTGAGCCACCTGGACGAGGGCTGGTACACCTGCATGGCATCCAACTCGCTGGGCATGAGCAACGCCAGCATCTATCTGCGCGTGGTCGATCATCTGCCCTACTTGCACTTCAGTCAGCTGCTCCACACGCATCCCGTCGCCTTCGTCGTGATCGTTGTGATGATCATTCTGCTCTTCCTGCTCGGCAGCGCGTTTATAGTGTATATGCTGCGTCGGCTGCGGCGGGAGAAGCTGCTGAAGCACCGCATCGAGACGGTGCATCAGTGGACCAAGAAGGTGATCATCTACAAGCCGGCCAGCGCCGAGGGCAGCTCCTGTGCGGGCGACCTGCAAATACCTGTCATTAAGATCGAGAAACAACGGACAACTTTCTCCAACACCACGACTGGCGGCTCCTCGGATCCTACACAGGGCTTCAACGAGTACGAGTTCCCGCTGGACTCGAACTGGGAGATTCCCAGGCAGCAGCTGGTGCTAGGCTCCATTTTGGGCGAGGGCGCCTTCGGACGCGTGGTCATGGCCGAGGCGGATGGCCTGCCGCGCAGTCCACCTTCCTCGAACAATGGCATGGGCACCATCGTCGCCGTCAAGATGGTGAAGGAGGAGCACACGGACGCGGACATGGCCAGCCTGGTGCGGGAAATGGAGGTGATGAAAATGATTGGCAAGCACATTAACATCATCAACCTGCTGGGATGCTGCAGTCAGAGCGGTCCATTGTGGGTCATTGTCGAGTATGCACCCCATGGCAATCTCAAGGATTTTCTCAAGCAAAATCGACCGGGTCAACTGCAGCGGCGCAGCGACAGCGATGGCTATCTGGATGACAAGTCGATGCAGCCACAGCAGCAGCTGGGCGAGAAGGAGCTCACCATGTTCGCCTTCCAAATAGCTCGCGGCATGGAGTACCTGGCCTCGCGACGGGTAAGGCCACGTGGGTCAATTAGCGAGCAGATCAGGTGTATAATGTGTCCATCACTTTTCAGTGCATTCATCGAGATCTGGCAGCGCGCAATGTGCTCGTCAGCGAAGGCTATGTGATGAAGATAGCCGACTTTGGATTGGCCAGGGACATCCAGGATACGGACTATTATCGGAAGAATACCAACGGACGACTGCCCATCAAATGGATGGCACCAGAGTCTTTGCAGGAGAAGTTTTACGATTCCCAGAGCGACGTTTGGAGCTACGGCGTCCTGCTCTGGGAGATAATGACCTATGGCGAACAGCCGTACCCGAATATCATGTCCGCTGAGGAGCTATACAGCTACTTGATCACTGGCCAGCGCATGGAGAAGCCGCCGAAATGCTCGCTCAACATATACGTGGTGATGCGCCAGTGCTGGCACTTCGAGTCGTGTGCGAGGCCCACGTTCGCTGAGCTCGTGGAGAGTTTCGACGGTATACTGCAGCAGGCGAGCAGCAATCCCAACGATGCCTATTTGGATCTATCGATGCCAATGCTGGAGACACCGCCTTCCTCGGGCGATGAGGACGACGGCTCTGAAACTGAAACATTCCGAGAGACTTTACCGCTTAGATATCAATATACATATAAGTTCAACTAGTGTTAGGGATGGCTTTACCGAGAACATCCATCGAGCATCATACAAAAAATACTCAATAAAATACGTCGAGTCTATGTAAGCAAATTGAACTAATCTTTTTCCATTCCCTCCGACAGAAGCTGCCAAAGAAAATTTTAGTGAAGCAAAAACATCTCATCGAATCCTACCAAACGACACGCCCATCGCTCAGCGCCGCCGATGTGGCCAAATATAAGAAGACGTGAGCTGCAACAAAACAATATCCAATACCTCGCATTTACTAAATATTACTGATTTCAGATATGCTCGTTTTACCAACAGGGAGAAGAGCTCCAGGGAATTTGTGGCCAAGCGGGCCACATTGGCATAGCTCTAAAGACTCAATTAGGCTCAACAGAGATAATTGTAAAACAAAAGTTCGGTTATATGGAATGCTATTTTTGGGCGTGTTTACTTTTTATTTTTCGGGAATTGTATTTTTTAATATTGTTGACACAATAAAAACGAATTTACATAATTTTACAGCGCTAAAGCTGATGTCAATTTAAATTTTGGATTTGAGGGAAAACAGAGCAATTTATGTATATTTTCATTTATATTTTACAAATAGAAAATGAATTTTAGGGACATGCGATCTCCATAAGAAATATACCCCAGCAAATGCTGATATTGTAGGGTATATCATTAACTGCGATAATTGTGCATGCTTTTTGCATCTGGTATATATTTGTATAAAATTCTTTTGATAAGCAACGAGATCAGCCGTGGGCATTGGCGTATGAAATTCCGAATAACATTTGCCTCTCAACTGCCGATTCATAAGGAATGTGGAAGGTGACACTTGCATTCTGTGCTCTCCTGAGCCTGTCCCTCAGTGCAGGAGTGATTGTCAACGGCTGGAACCTACGACCGCGCTGGTGGCTGGGCGAAACTGCTCCAAGTCTCGATGCCTTGAGACCAACACAATGGGCACAGCGCCAGCGCTTTCTGTTGGATTTGTTGCTGCAAGTGCACAAGCCGCTGCTGCAGCAGGAGCTCATCGACATGGGCCGTGAGCTCAACGAGAGTCCCAGCGATTACGAAACGGTGAGGGGATTCAGTTTGAAATCGAAATCAATTGCTTAAAGCATATTTTTTCTACAGGGCAGTTGGCCTTTGTTGCTGGACTTCTTTGAGCGCGTCCATCAGGGTCGCATACTGCATCCATATAGCATCTATAACCTTTTGCAAGAGGAGCTGCCGCAGCAGCTATTGGGCGTCTATCGCTTCCTTGTGCTGGCCAAAGACTGGAGAACCTTTCAGCGCAATGCCTGCTATGCGCGCAGCCAGTTCAACCCAGTGCTGTTTGTGAACGCTCTGCAGCTGGCGATTGCCGAGCGTGCGGATACAAAGGATCTGATGATGCCGGCCATGCATGAGGTTCTGCCACAGCTCTACTTCGACAAGGAGCTGATAAGGGCAGCAAGGTCCGTTAATTGGCAGGAGTTGGCTCCAGTTCGAATTGCTCCGAAACGCACTTGGAAGGACACATTGGGTAGCTTTTTGTACCCGAGGATATTTAGACAGCCACCGGAGGAGGAACTAATGCCCGCCGACCCCATTGTGATAGAAGCGAATTCCCTTGGGATGCAGCTGAGCTTAGATGTGGCATTGAACGGCTATTGGAGCAGGCTTATCAGCCGGCTGATAATCGGGTCGAAAGCCAAGGAAGATTATGGAACTGCTATAATAGACGGCGATCGCATGATGCAGTTCCGCAGTGATGAGGATGAATGGATATACCGCCAGCAAGTGGGGGGTGCGGCGAGGCCAGAAATCGGACTGTTGCTGATGCACAACATCCGGCAGTTTGTAGTCTTGCTGCAGCTGGAAGAACTAGCGACAGGCAAAGACTCAGCTGAGCTGGTCACGCCCACATTGGTGACAACGGGTGGAGTGCCCTACAAGGTGACTGCGCTGAATGCCGAAGATGTACGGCAATTGATAAGAAAGTCTGTTGAAGAGCTGCAAAGTCAGATCGATAAGGAGCTGGCCATAAATAACAAAATTGAGCCTATGTGGGTCGTGGGTCACGTGATTGCAGCGGAGTACTGGCTGCTCTGTAGACATTTGAGTCTGGCCATCAACGGCAACAATGTGGAGCCCAGCCTTTTGGGCATGACTACGTCCAACCTCCGCGATCCCATATATCGCTCGCTGTTGATTCAACTGGCTCAATTAATATCCAAGTACGACCAGAAGCCAAAATCTCAATCATACGACATGCAGCGAAGGCCGACGGTAAAGCTCCTGCAAGTGACTAAATTGGAGACCTATGAGCAGCTAACGGACTCCGATTTGATTAACCTAATGGATCAACAGTTGCTTCAGACACAGCGCAACAATTTGCAATTGCTGCGTCGCCGTCTTGTGGCACGCCAGCTGCGCTTGAATCATAAACCATTCAGGATTGCCTATGAGCTGTCCGTTCCGCAGACGATGGTTGTCCAAATCCGCAGTTATCTGATGCTGCCTGGCAGAGCTGAACCTCACCTATTGCTCGATAGCTTTGTGCGTGAGCTAGGAATAAACGATAATCGATTGGAACGTCATTTTCCAGCCGCTCCAAATGATCACACACTTAGCGAGCTGTATGAAGCGCAGGAACCATTTGATGCTCCAAAAACCTGTTCATTTCCTCGTCACCTGCAGCTGCCTCGTGGTACTGCAGAAGGTCTGCCATTCCAATTACTGGTGGAAGTACTCCAATGGAACGGCACTGAGATCGACGCAGAGTGTGTTGGGGCTGCCAGCTTTAGTACTAGTACTGGAAGTACTACACTCCTCGCCAGCGACACTTTAGATGTGGTCATATACCACCAGGAATTAAAAATATCAGTCGACAAACTGTAATAAAAGTAAAATGTCATATGTTAACTTTGTTTTGCATATTTACAATTTTAATAATTAAATAAAAATATTAATTTAATTTGTATATGAGTATTTATAAACAATTTACATATGTTCTCATACAGAGATTTTAATAAAATGTAACAATGCTATTTTTATATTTTCGGTGTTTATAGCAAATCTACTTTTCAAAAATAGTATACTGTTAAAGAAATAACATAATCAAGAAGCGAACTATCGATGTTAAATGTCGATATAATGGATACAATCCTATCGAAAGCTGTGCTGCTGATGCTAGAACAGTGCAAGCGCCATCTAGCTGTGAAAGTTATTTTAGATATTTTGTTTCTCTGCAATTCCTTTTCTTTTGGCCTCGGTGTTGATTCGATGATTCGAATAAACATAGAAACAAAATTGCTTATGGTCTCATTGCCAATAAGTAAAAACCCCCGATTTTAGTAATCGAATGAATGTACATACATACATATGAATGACTAGCTTTGGCCACTTCAGTTCCTATCATTCAATAAGGCAATCTAATCGAAATGTATCTAATCAGTTTATTGTAAATAAAAATTAATACAATCAAATCAAGTATACAACTAAAGTTACTTAATAATTTTACTGTACAGTTTTCATATGCATACATACATATGTACGTATTTACATATGCCTGAATTTGTGTGCACTCCTTAGGCATTAAAGGTTGAGTTTGTCTTGGACTTGGCCACAAGGATCTCGTATTTGTCAAATTGACGCAGTGGCAAATCTTCGTTTTTGATAATGCAATTCTTCTGCGATAGGAACAGAGTGCCCATTAGCAAACCGCCATCCGCCTTGGCGCGGCAAATGAAGACACGTTCGTTCCAATGGGTGGTGCCCACAGCAACGGCACCATTTTCGTAATTGCCATCAAAGCTGCGTATCCACTCGTAGTCAAATCTGGGACTAGAAGTCAATAGCTGATAGTCGACGAGCTTGTTGCTCAGTTTGTCTGTGTTGAAATAGGCATAGCCCGTCTCAGCCACGACACGAGCGGGCAAGATGTTGGTGCCATAAGCGACTCGGCCTATGTAAGTACGGTAGCCATAAGGATCAAATCCTCCAACTATAACGTTGCTTGTCAAGGGAATTGAAAGATTTCCCTTGATCCAATTATGTTCAGTATCTAGAGGAATATTCAGCAAGGATTGGGTTCAGTAACTCCTTGGCTTGCCAAAAATCTGATTACTTACCATATGTGTATGGAGCAGCCAATGCTACGGCAAGTAGTCCGGCTACCAACAAGCAGATGACTTTGAACATGTTGCAACGCGTTAAATCAACGATTGAGTGATTGCAAAAGCGGGAGCTACTTTTATACCAGTGACTTATCTATTCCCACTATCGCTTCAACCACAAGAGTACAGTTATAAAGTAAATTTAGAGGAATGCATATTTATGACTTAGCTCTAGTAGTAACTGGGCTATAATCAAATCGAAATTATATATAATTGAGTACAAAAAAGATTAATAAAGAAAAAACTGAAACTATTGTATCAGAAGTGTATACGGAAATGATACGCGCCATCTATTGTTCGTTTATGATGCTCCAGAGAAAGAGAGAGAGCAAAAAGGGTTAAATAATAGTTATAATGTTAACGTTATTAACATTTATAACTTCGAGTTAGTAACGTATGCATGCACTTAAAGCTTAAGTGAGCTCAAATGGCTGCTCTAATTAAGCATTACACACTATTTAATTAAGCACAAATATATGCAAAACACCTGTTAATTTGGTAAACGCTTGCCCGATCATCTCTAATTCAACATGAGCTTCTAATGATGCAAGTGAGATAATTCAGTTTTAAATAGTGTGCTTGCCTGCAAAAGGGTCGTGAATGTAAATTGGTTTCATCAGTTTATTTCAGTAGTGTTCTAGTCTGTCATTGTATACACCTCTAATTTCTTTAGAATTTTGCACAGCTTGTTCTCTGCTCTCCTTCTCCCTTTTTCGGCTGGAAATCAAATAAAATGACTGGCAAATAGGCAAACGGAGAAGTCCCCAAAGGGAAACTTGAAAACGAAACGGTTTATTATGCTTATGCGAATGTGATGACAACAAAAAGGCATAATAGTAAAATTAAATGTGTCTATTATGCCAGCAATACAATGCACACATAAAACCACACACACACACACACACACACAGGCTAACACATACACACAGAGGCCTCACAATCGTATGGCCCATAGAAACATTTGGCAGACAAGAAACGTTTAAGGAAGGATGTGTTGCTTAGAAGACTTCGATGGCAGAGGCAGGCAGCGGGGCATGTGGGGCTATGGGGTGGCTCTGGGACGATCCAGGCGCATAAAAACAAATGCACAATATGACAAAAACAACAAAACAACCGGCGTAGTATTGAGACATGGCAGCTCAGTTCTTGGCAGCAAAGAAAGCGAAATCAACTTGAAGGCCTCGTACGGGGGTTTGTACATGGGTCCGGAATGGGCATTTGGCCTGGGCGTGTTTCTTGGCAGATAAGCACAATAATATGCACGTATT